AAGGTTCTGGTGGTTGTTGCCTGATGAGTTGCTGCTCAGGGTGAAATTGGCATCATTCCTGTTTCGACAGCAAATGGAAAACTAAAGTCTCAATTTTCTCTGACTGAAAAGCTTGAATAGAAAAACAGACTAATGGCGTTTTATTTGGAGCGGCAAAGTCGGGTATGGGTGTTTAGCAGAGTCTCTGGTGATTCATCCAGGTGGGAGTCCAGAGACTTAATAAACCGGCATGCTGTTGAGGGTTTAAAAGCTTCTTAATGATGTAAGGGCTGCTCCAGTTCTGACCAGCATTCTTCCTCCAGTACTCCAATCTCCCCAACAACCGTCATGAGTGACCCATGCAGTGATTGCACAAGTCCCACGTTCTCCACATAATGTTTGGTTCAGGAAGCTTTAGCTGCAGGGTTAGGGTGTCGACGCGCCTCCAGTCCGTTACCGGTTAGTTTCCTCTCAACAACAAGAAGCATGACTCCAAAGGGTCACTGAAGGCTAATGTTGCTCCAGTTCATATGTGGGTTGAAGGGAAGCTGAAACAGTCAGTCAGCTTTACCTTCATTCCTCTCCTTGAATCCAGGGTTCCAGGTGTTCCAGACATCTGTCCTCCCTTCCTGTTTACTTGCACAGCGCTCCTCATCTTCACTGCAGAGCAGATCTTTGCAGTGAAGGTTAAATATTAGCTGCAAATTAATTCAAAGACCCCATCATCAAGAAAACTATGCGATTACTGAGCGATAATCAGACAGTGCTGCATTAGCTTCCGTACATGGTGTTCAAATTTATCATCTGCTTTCATTTTTTTAAATGTTTTACTTGCCGACTGAAATATGACGATGTTTGGTCTGTAAAGATGTGACTGTTTGTATTTAATCGACGGTACGGTCGAGTGTTTTGGAGCTGCCAGTAAACTACAGATGCACCATGCAGCCTGTGGGATGTATGGAAAGCCATGTGGCTCACAATTCATCCACTTGTCTACAGCTGCTGGAGCCTTCTTCAGGCGGATAAACATCCTTTAGTTTCATGGAAGTGGAACTGCTGGGAGTAGGCTCAACAAAAACGGGAATTTCCAGAAAACTCCGGTTCTTGTTGTGGGTCGGAAAACGCGGCTTCATTACGCTAATTAAAGCTTTCTGCCAATCATTTTAGCATCTTAATGTCCAAAAAAAGGTAAACAAACATTCTTCATCAATTGCTATTTGCTGACCCTGAACCTGGGCTTCACGCTGCATGGCATATATACTGTTATACCACAGAAGAAGAGTTTCACGTTTAAAGCAGCTGAGATGCCAGCCATCAAACACAATCAACATTTCTGATTTGATCAGTAAAATTAGTTCAAATGTGTCTGATGTTGATATACCAAAGTGTAATCCTGGATGTGACTGATCAATAATCATTTGTAACTAATTCCAACTATCAACTGAAAGTCTTGGATTTCCTAAAAGCCGGATCCAAACTGTTATTTATGAATCAGGACTAAATGTTTTAAAAGTTCCTTCATGTGATCCTCTACAAGGTCTCAGACATTTGGGAATCAGGGGTCTGATAGCTTGCTTTTAATTCCTTCATGTAATCTGTCTGAAGCTTAGAGCGCTCCAGTCAGAAGAATCACTAAACGCTGGTAAAACATCTAGTTTCACTGTGACAGACTTTGGACAAACGGCCAATCACATTCTACTGAATGTTTTTGTACAATTTTGCTGATCACTGTTGAAGCTTTGTGGTGATGAACAGTCCAGACCTTGGATGCATTTTCAAGGGGAAACAAATAAGAATTATGTGAAAATCATTTTTTTCTGTGTGCCATTTTTCCACATTTAGTTTTGCATTAATGTGAAAATAAAGAATGAACTTTCTTCTGCCTGATTGTCTCTTTCACTTCATCATATTTTAAGAGAAACCAAGCGACTAAATGTTTGGTTTAGTTGTATTTGCACCTTACACTTGCAGCAATAATGTGTTTTGTTGCTCTAAAACTAAAGCTAACTGAGCATTAGCACAGTTAGCATGCAATTTTTCTCTTGTTTTAATTTCTAATCAATTCCAAAAAATTAAAATTTTGATAAAAATCTTCCAAGTTCGAAATCTAATTCCTAATTTCAGCACAAGTAACTTTAACAGCTATGGCTAGCTGCTATAGATAGCTGCTATAGCTAGCTGCTATAGGTAGCTGCTATAGATACCTGCTATAGCTAGCTGATATGGCTAGCTGCTATAGATAGCTGCTATAGCTAGCTGCTATAGGTAGCTGCTATAGATAGCTGCTATAGCTAGCTGATATGGCTAGCTGCTATAGATAGCTGCTATAGCTAGCTGCTATAGGTAGCTGCTATAGATAGCTGCTATAGCTAGCTGATATGGCTAGCTGCTATAGATAGCTGCTATAGCTAGCTGATATGGCTAGCTGCTATAGGTAGCTGCTTTGGCTAGCTGCTATAGCTAGCTGCTATAGGTAGCTGCTATGGCTTACTGCTATAGATAGCTGCTATGGCTAGCTGCTATAGATAGCTGCTATAGGTAGCTGCTATGGCTAGCTGCTATAGATAGCTGCTATAGCTAGCTGCTGTAGGTAGCTGCTATGGCTTGCTGCTATAGGTAGCTGCTATAGCTAGCTGCTATGGCTAGCTGCTATAGATAGCTGCTATAGCTAGCTGCTATAGGTAGCTGCTATAGCTAGCTGCTATGGCTATAGATAGCTGCTATAGGTAGCTGCTATAGCTAGCTGCTATGGCTAGCTGCTATAGATAGCTTCTATGGCTAGCTGCTATAGGTAGCTGCTATGGCTAGCTGCTATAGGTAGCTGCTATAGCTAGCAGCTAGCCATAGCAGCATAGGTAGCTGCTATGGCTAGCTGCCATGGCTAGCTGCTATAGGTAGCTGCTATGGCTAGCTGCTATGGCTTGCTGCTATCTATAGCAGCTACCTATAGCAGCTATAGATAGCTGCTATAGGTAGCTGCTATGGCTGGCTGCTATAGGTAGCTGCTATAGCCAGCTGCTATAGATAGCTGCTATAGCTAGCTGCTATGGCTAGCTGCTATAGGTAGCTGCTATGGCTAGCTGCTATAGGTAGCTGCTATAGCTAGCTGCTATGGCTAGCTGCTATAGATAGCTGCTATAGTTGGCTGCTATGGCTTGCTGCTATAGATAGCTGCTGTGGCTTGCTGCTATAGATAGCTGCTATGGCTGGCTGCTATAGCCAGCTGCTATGGCTAGCTGCTATAGATAGCTGCTATAGCTAGCTGCTATAGGTAGCTGCTATGGCTTGTTGCTATAGCTAGCTGCTATAGGTAGCTGCTATGGCTAGCTGCTATAGCTAGCTCCTATAGCTAGCTGCTATGGCTAGCTGCTATAGGTAGCTGCTATGGCTTGCTGCTATAGCTAGCTGCTATAGGTAGCTGCTATGGCTAGCTGCTATAGCCAGCTGCTATGGCTAGCTGCTATAGATAGCTGCTATGGCTGGCTGCTATAGGTAGCTGCTATAGCTAGCTGCTATGGCTAGCTGCTATAGGTAGCTGCTATAGCTAGCTGCTATAGATAGCTGCTATGGCTAGCTGCTATAGATAGCTGCTATGGCTGGCTGCTATAGGTAGCTGCTATAGCTAGCTGCTATAGCTAGCTGCTATAGGTAGCTGCTATGGCTAGCTGCTATAGCCAGCTGCTATGGCTAGCTGCTATAGCTAGCTGCTATGGCTAGCTGCTATAGGTAGCTCCTATAGCTAGCTGCTATGGCTAGCTGCTATAGGTAGCTGCTATGGCTCAAAATCTGTCTTGTAATTTAAACTCATCTTTCCAATCTTTATCACTTACTGCCAACAGCAACGCATTTCAATATAGTATTGCTAAAAGTTTCTTGAAATGCTTTCAAATTTCCCATGACAGAAAGTCAAATGATTTTAGAATGCTGCTAAACTGTGTCTTTTAGCTGGTAGTGTAAACAGCAACGCTGCATGTTTCCTCTTAATGCCAGAGAAGACAAAAAGGACTTGAAGGGTGAAACCATGGCAACAAAGCCAGAAATGTGGAGGACTAATAAACCTGCTATGAAAGGAAGATCTTTGAAAGAGTATTTGGACTCCAGTCTCATGTTCGCTACCTGGAGCCCGAACCATCAGCTGTTGGTGCTGCAGTGTCACACATTGAGAATTATCTGGCACCATCGGGTTAACTGTAGCCTGGTAAGAAATATGTCAGAAACTCAGCAATACCGAGGAAAACTAGTCACTCCATGAATTTGTGGCATCATGTTTCATTTCATGCCGGAAGCTCTGGACCAGAACCGCATCGACTCTCTGCTGCCCCCTGCGTGTCAGATGGTCTATGGGGGACGCAGGGGATGTAGGTCCGTCCGTCTATTTCAGGCTGATTAATTGGAGCGCTGTGAATGAGGCCAGAGCGAGAGACAAGCTGCCACCATGAATACTTTATCTGTGAGCCAGTTCCTGTGGCGCCGCGGGGGTTCTGCTGGTTTACTGGGCCGGATCACCCAGTTATCACCAGTCCAGACTGGTTCTGGACTGGCTTCATGTCCTACTAAAACAAAACATGTTGCGTTAATGTGCATCATGTCAATCATAATTCCAGGTGGTACCAGTTGATCATCAGGTCATTGCTGGTCTGGAGTCCATTACCATCAGAACCGGGCCCTGTGGTCTCTGTGTGCGGCCGGGCCTGCAGCTCAGAGCAGAACCGTGTGGGCTGAGAAGTTGGACTTCCTGGCAAACCGAGCCAGTTCCCCCTGCAGAACCTGGGTGAAGCATTTCGAAACCATCTTTATGTTCTGGTCCGGCCCATCTCAGGCCTGACGGAACCAACTCTCTGCTTTCGGTCCAGGTTTGGGCCTCAGGGGGTTCTGGTTCTGAAAGACAGAAGATGTCCTTGATACGAGGGTCTCAGAACTCTGATCTGGTCCAGCTTTGGACTGGTACTGAACTAGAACCAGCTCCCCAATATTGGAATATGGTTCTGGTTCTGGACCATGTCTGGTACCAGTTCTGCCGCCGCTCAGGCTGTTGGCTGCAAGTTGCTGAGAAGGTTGTGAGTACCAATCCCGGCCAGATTCAGTGCATGTTAGCATGGACTAAATGCTAATAACAATGCTAATCATAAGGTTAATTAATGATAACAGAGCTTATAATAATATGGATAATGATGCTAATAAGGAAAATAAGTCTGTTAATGATAAAGCTATACAGTAATAATAATAAAACATTTATTATTAATTATTATTCTTATAAATATGACATTTCAGAACCTTCCAGACGCCTCAGATCCTCTGGTTCTGGTTCTGGTTCTGGTTCTGGTTCTGGTTCTGCTCCTGACCCTCATCAGCCACTCTGCAGAGAAACCCAGGAGAAGTGGAGGACTGCGCCCTCTGCTGGTTGAAATCAGATGCACTTTATGATGTTGAGATGTTCGGATGAATGCTCTCAGCCGCTGACCTCAGGAAGGTCAAGGATGGTGGCGTTATTCTTCCCAACATTCACCTTCCTCAGGATGAACCGAAGCTCTCATGGTGCGGATCGGCTTCTCGATGCCATGGTGATTCCTAGAAGGAAAAACAAGTCCTTTAACGCGCCTCTCCATCCAGGACAGCCAGGAGATCTGGGAGCACGTTCCTGATCCTGACGCTCCATCAGAGCTGTTCTGTTGCTGAGGAACATCTCAGAGGGTTCTAGTAGCTTCTAAGTTCTGATCATCTTGCAAAATTACCTGAAGCTGTCCAATGGTCTCAAACTGAACATGAGACCTACATACTCCAAAATCTCCCATGAAAGCTTGGCGCCATGTGGGTTCGAATGCTTGGAGTACGTGTTGGATTAGCTGGAACTTGTCAGTAAGTCTGACGTCTTTGTGTGTGGAGATTCTGATCAAAGCAGATCTGATCAAAGCATTCGACCAAGGAGGCAGCAATGTCCCCTGGGAAACATAATGTCGACGTTTAATGTTGACATTTGGGAGGCAAACTACAGGCAGGATCCTAACGATCTGCTATAACAAGTGGAAATGAAACTCTATTGACTTAGTTGATATGTGAATATCCATCAGTTATAGCAGAAATATTAAAGTGACAGAAAACCTGATGCAGTTTCTTCCTCAGTGAGATTCTGACACTAACAGCAGCTGTACTCCACACCACCAGGTGGCGGTAATAACACTTTACGGTTTTTCCCAACTGCCAATAGAAATCAGGAAGGAATTCTGAACGCAAACGGTTCTGATGCTCCGTGGTTCGGTCGTGTCCTGGACTCCGGGCCGAGATGCAGCGCAGCCAGGCGGCTGGCAGCGTGGACGTGAGGCGGGTGATCGGCTCTCTCTGCCGGCTGCTGGCGGGGCTCGGTCTGGATCCCGTCCCCGCGCCGGACGCTTTCCGACGGGCCAAGTTTGGAGGAGGACCGGAGGTGGGCTCAACACGGTCTGTTTGCGGTTCCGCTCGGTTCGGCTGCGACCTGCGGTTGATACAGGCGCGTTTTTAATAGGGTTAGACAGAAGACAGCAAAAAATAAACACTGTAAATAACCGGAAGCCCGAAACATTTACAGAGCCAAGTATGGGAAGCAATTAATGCAAAACAGGAAACAGTTTAGACAAACACTAAACCCAGGTCATGACTTTAAGTTCAAATTATTTCATTTGAAAATCTAACGTCCTTCATCTGCATCGTTTCTAGTTACTGTCAGTTTCAACAAGTTTCCGGCTCCAGAAGGATCTGAGCAAAGAATGATCTGTGACCAACGACTTATCTAACCTCTGACCTCTGACTCAGACTAATTTAGTAACTTTAGACATCATAAAATAAGACTTTGGATTTGGAAAGACTTGATACACCAAACAGCAGGTGGTTCGGCTCACCGATGGAACCGGACCTCCCGATGGAACCGGACCTCCCGATGGAACCGGACCTCCCGATGGAACCGGACCTCCCGATGGAACCGGACCTCCCGATGGAACCGGACCAGGTGCCTGAGCCAGTGCCCTCTGCCCCCGTTTCCTCTCCTTGTTGCTACGACAACCACAGTTTACCTGCAGCTTATCTGCAGACCTTGTGTACTCAGTGGAGAAGTCCTCCAGAACAACAGAACCGGGTCAGGTCCAGACAGACCCCTTCTGTCTGTGCTCAGCTGCAGCTGGAGGCATTGTGCTGTACGGGAGCCCAGAGCTGCCACTAATGTGGTGCAGACTGCAGCGACAGCGACCCTGATGGAGGTTTTTCCTCCAGCCAGCTGAATCGTCTAATGAGAAGACGATTCATATCGGCTGAAAGAGCATCAATATGCTACTGACGGAGCCGTTGAACCTCCAGATGGTGAACTCTCACAACAAGCAGCTGCTGAGAGCTGCAGCAGGAACTGAAACACTTAACAAAAAATTTTACATATTGAAACTTTTGCTATAATCGAACATAAGACAGATAATCTCTGACAACTAATCGATCTCTGCCTCCTCCTGGCATGCTGCAGAATTACAGAACTCTGTCAGAAACAACCAATCAGAGCCAGAGTTAACCAGCTAGCCAATCGGAGCTAACATTAATCAATAGCCATGCTGTTAGGAAGTTTTGATTCAGTAACTCAGGATTATTTATTTTGATGCTTTTGATTGATGATTGTTTCCTTTTCTTGACATTATTTGATATCTGTGTTGTGAGATTTATTTGACTCATATAATGGTTGAGAGACTTACTGTTAAATATTATTTTACTGTTTGCAGGTTTTTCAGTCCTTTTGACCTTTTTTTTGTCTGCATGTATTTTGCATGTTTTATGTCTAAATTGGGTGAATTTATTACTGGATAATTTTTCCATTTTGCCAGATCACTTAGTAGCATTTCTATTTGAAGTGAAAAAATAACAGCCAGTCCTGGAAGATGATCGGCCCTCATGTGTGATTGGAATCCGCTACAAAAAACCTGATCGGAGTGTCAGTAATCAATTACTGACAATTGATTAAGCTCAAGCATTAGTTTGTCAGGTTATTCTTTCCCCCTTAGCCTCTTTAAATTTGAAGGTGCAAACTCTGCTACCCCTTTTGTCTCATCAATGCAGAACAAACAGAACCCGGTCAGAACTGGGTTCTGACCGGGTTCTGAGCTTGAGGAACACCAGCAGCTCTTCACGTGCATCTGCTTCACATTTCCTTCATGCTTAATAAAAATGTTCAAAACTGTTTTAAAAACAATCAGTGTCTAAACTTTTACAGTCAAGATGAATTTCTGCTGAATTATTGATCTGCACCTAATAACAATAATTAATAACAAAGATAGTGATACTGGATTTTACACTGACTGCTCTATTCATATTAATGGTCTTTGACTGGTTCTCATAGCTGGACCTGAATGAAACCTGCTGGTTCTGGTTCTAATAGCTGTCCCTGTTTTTCTGCAGGATTCATTCTGGCTGCTGCTCTCCAACATCCTTCAGAGGTCAGGGGTCATTTTCTCTGAGACCATCTGCCAGCCGACGGGAGGTCAGTCTGCTCTTCATCCTTATTGCAAGGTCAGAACTGGGTCAGAACCGAGTCAGAACTGGGTCAGGTCACGGATGTGGACTGGCCCTGACCCATTTTTGTTTCCCTCCAGGGAGCAAGGAGCTGGTGGTGGCGGGCCTTTGGCAGAGCGGTTACCATGGCGACTGGACATCGGGCGGGTCCGGTTCCGACCCGCTGCTTGCGCTGGGCTGGCTGCTGGCCCAGGGGGTTCTGGAGAAGCTACTGGCGGGTCAGGTCGCCGTGCTAGACCGCACGCTGTTGGACACCTGGCCGGTTTCGACAGGAACCAGAACTTTAGAACCTGCCCTGCCGGACAGCATCTCACTGAGGACGCTGCAGTGGCTGATGGGACGTCTGAGACACCAGGGACGGACGCTGCTGTGCACCACGAGAGGACGGACGCGAGCGCTGCATGACGTAAGAAGACACATGTGTGACATCACTTTAGCCCCGCCCACTCAGAGGACACAGTTATTGGGTGGCTGCTTCAGGCTGAGCTGGGACCATTAATCCATAGTAGCCATGTGTTCAAATACCAATCGTTCCCCAATGGTTCCCCAATCATTCCCCAATCTTTCCCCAATCATTCGCCAATCGTTCCCCAATCATTCCCCAATCGTTTGCCAATCCTTTGCCAATCCTTTCCCAATCGTTCCCCAATCGTTCCCCAATCATTCGCCAATCTTTCCCCAATAGTTCGCCAATCGTTCCCCAATCATTCCCCAATCGTTTGCCAATTGTTCGCCAATCGTTTCCCAATTGTTCCCCAATCATTCGCCAATCATTCCCCAATCATTCGCCAATCGTTCCCCAATCATTTGCCAATTGTTCGCCAATCGTTTCCCAATCGTTCCCCAATCATTTCCCAATCATTCGCCAATCGTTCCCCAATCATTCGCCAATCATTCCCCAATAGTTCCCCAATCCTTCCCCAATCGTTCTCCAATCATTCCCCAATCATTCGCCAATCATTCCCCAATCATTCCCCAATCATTCGCCAATCATTTCCCAATCGTTCCCCAATCATTCCCCAATCATTTCCCAATCATTCGCCAATTGTTCCCCAATCATTCGCCAATCGTTCCCCAATCATTCCCCAATCATTCGCCAATCGTTCCCCAATCATTCGCCAATCGTTCGCCAATCGTTTCCCAATCATTCCCCAATCATTCCCCAATCATTCCCCAATCATTCCCCAATCATTCGCCAATCGTTCCCCAATTGTTCGCCAATCTTTCCCCAATCGTTCCCCAATCATTCCCCAATCGTTCGCCAATCGTTTCCCAATCATTCGCCAATCGTTTCCCAATCATTCGCCAATCGTTCCCCAATTATTCGCCAATCCTTTCCCAATCATTTCCCATCATTCGCCAATCGTTTCCCAATCATTCGCCAATTGTTCCCCAATCATTCACCAATCGTTCGCCAATCGTTTCCCTATCGTTCCCCAATCATTCGCCACTATACAGGAAGTGACAATAACTTTGTTGGATTTTGGCCAAAAGTTTAAGGCATTGCATCCAGCTCTTACAGAACTGAACTGGTGGCCATTTTGAATATCGCCCAATGTGCCACCTAGTGAACAGGTGTGTGAATGGCACGAGAACCGGTGGGGAGCCGTACCATGTCTGCTGCAGCAGACCTACGGAGGAGAACCTCACCAGAACCTGGAGGTTCTGCTCTCTAGATCTGTGTTTCTGGACTAAAATCCTGATTTTGGATCAGATGTTCTGAAGAACTGCATGTTGGGCTTTCATATGCTGGACCAGAACCCTGAGCAGGACCATGACCGGGCAAGTCCGTGTGGGAGGAAGCCGGCTCTTTTTCATGGGAATGCTAAAGGGCTCACACTAGCAAATGCATAATTCCCACTCTCGATAGTAGCCACAGGCCTGCACTGTCGCCCCCTGTTGGGCCGACTGACCAACACCGGCAGGCAAGGCGGGTGCCGCAGGGAACGGCTGCCGCCATGAAGGAGAGGCAGCTGAATATTAGTCAGAAAATGAATAAGTAGTTTTGAACAGGTGAGCTATAACATCACTATTTCTTCCGCAGGTACTTTCCACCAGCCAGGTTTGCTCTCCGGCTACCCCTGCTGGCCAAAGCTCTGCGGTGCTGACAGAGGTTTGTTTAAAGCGTCTAAAGCAGGAGGCTCAGGTCCACTCCTCAAGAGTCACCGTCCCACAACTTTTAGATCCATCCTTACTCCAGCAGACCAGCGTTGGCTCTGAACAGGCCTGGTAACAAATTGCTTCAGGTGTGTTGGAGCAGGGAACTGGACTGGCACCAGTTCTGTGGGGGTTAGAACCTTCCCCAGGATGCACCTGGTTTCCTCGTAGCGGTCGGAGCGCCGCCGCTGACCAGTGGTTCTGGTTGGAGCGGTTAGAACTGGGTTAGGAGCCAGAGTGCTGCTGCTGGCTTCCTGGTCGCCTCATCAGAACCGTTGGTACCAGATCTGATGTGGGTCGGATGGTTGGTGTCTGTGGTGATTGTTGCACCTTCTGTCTCGTCGGCTATTATATTCGTGCTTGATAAGAACCAGACGTTGTTTGTTGCTCTGACACTTTTATTGAAGTTTCTTCCCACTGGTCTGCTCACACATGTGTCCATATTGACTCTGTCCTTCTGTTGTCCTATTCTTTACATTTATGCAATCACATATGCTCATGACTGCCACCTAGTGGACATAAACATAATTCATTCAATCATCACATCGGCCTCTGGTTCTGAGTCTGAGCCGGTTCTGGTTCTGGGTAAGAACCAGACAGGAAGTTGGACTCCAGTCTCCTCCTCATTGCTGTTGCAGGACAGCGCGTGCATCCAGCGGCTCTGTGACGTCCTGGAGGCGTACCTGAGTTGGAGACGGGTCGAGAACGTCTTCTGGACCTGGATGGTGGGTTGGTTCCACTATGTACCGGTATCAAAACCTGGGTTCTGCTGCTCAACTCATCAGGCCTGTGTTTCTGCAGGACAGCGTGGCAGACCGCCGTCACGGCGTCCCCCAAGCCGCCACGCCCTTCCGGGCACTGGGGACGTGTCACCATGGCAACCAGGGGCTGGCCCAGCTGGAGCAGCTGCTGATGAAGTTGCCGATCGCGCAGGTACACAACCCAGATTCTGCTGTAGACATCTGGTAATCACCTCGCTACAAAGCAGCACAGCCACTTCCTGCCAGGAAAGACCAGGAAGCACTAGAACCAGGCAGGAAGTGGTCAGCAAGTCTGCAGAAAGCAGACAGGAAACAGGCGGGAAGCAGACAGGAAGCAGGCAGGAAGCAGACAGGAAGCAGGCAGGAAGCAGACAGGAAACAGGCGGGAAGCAGACAGGAAGTAGACAGGAAACAGGCGGGAAGCAGACAGGAAGCAGGCAGGAAGCAGACAGGAAACAGGCGGGAAGCAGACAGGAAACAGGCGGGAAGCAGACAGGAAACAGGCGGGAAGCAGACAGGAAGCAGGCAGGAAGCAGACAGGAAGCAGGCAGGAAGCAGACAGGAAGTAGACAGGAAACAGGCGGGAAGCAGACAGGAAGTAGACAGGAAACAGGCGGGAAGCAGACAGGAAGCAGGCAGGAAGCAGACAGGAAACATGCAGGAAGCAGGCAGGAAGCAGGCGGGAAGTGGTCAGCAAGTCTGCAGGAAACAGGCGGGAAGCAGACAGGAAGCAGGCAGGAAGCAGACAGGAAGCAGGCAGGAAGCAGGCAGGAAGCAGACAGGAAGCAGGCAGGAAGCAGACAGGAAGCAGGCAGGAAGCAGACAGGAAGCAAACAGGAAGCAGACAGGAAGCAGACAGGAAGCAAACAGGAAGCAGACAGGAAGCAGACAGGAAGCAGACAGGAAGCAGACAGGAAGCAGACAGGAAGCAGACAGGAAGCAGACAGGAAGCAGACAGGAAGCAAACAGGAAGCAGACAGGAAGCAGACAGGAAGCAGGCAGGAAGCAGACAGGAAGCAAGCAGGAAGCAGACAGGAAGCAGGCAGGAAGCAGACAGGAAGCAGATGACCCTCAGAAGATCCAAGTCCGCAGCTCAATGCTGGTAGGACACGGATGGACATGGGCAATATGTCTATGTCCAGATACAATGGAAAATGAGTTGAGCTGTTTTTATTTTTTATTGGATTTATTGAGAAAATATCATTTAATAAATTCACCTGAAAATATTGTGACTTTCTTCCATCCATTTCAAGCAGTTAAGATCACTGTGGTCTTCAGCTCCTTCTTGAATGATTCTATACAACAATCATGTTGGAAATAAATAAATAAACAAATTAATCATATCAGGATTTATTTTATTATCTCCTAATAAACAAAGTGCAGAAAAGCAGCCAGAGCCCCCCCTGGTAGCTGCAGGCAGAACTGACCTGGTGCTTAACTAGTCGCTCATGCTACTGAGGTTAAAGATCATCCTCAGTCATGTTAGAGACTTGATTATCACGGTATGACCACTTTATTCCTTTATGAACTGAAATCATGGAGAACAACTTTTCCTCCTCTCCAGGAAACCGAGAGTCTCCAGGGTCAGAGGTCACAGGACCATCAGGCCTGCACGTCTCCTGTCCTCTCTGTTCCCTCCATCCGTCAGGTGTGGCGTCCCCGGCTGCAGGCGGGGGCCCGAGGGCCCCCTGCATCCCCCCCGGCTTTAGAGCGCCTCCTGCAGGCGGAGCGGCTGCTGCTGCGACACAGAGCGGCGCGGCGTCTGGCCAACAGGAAGCGGCTGCAGCTGCTGATGCGGCGGCTGCGGCGGCGGGTCTTTGTCCCGATGTAGGGGAGGAGCTATTGGTGTTAATGGAGAGCGGAACGGCATTTGGATCAGAACCGGTTCCTCTGCTAGTCAGAAACCTCAACGTATTGATACATCAACTGGTCTTCTGGTGCCGTGGCGATCACCATGACAACTGCACTGCGTCCATTTTGAACTGATTCTGTCAAACCCAGAAAACAGGACTTTACTCCAGAAATGTTCAGTTCTGGTCGGGTTCTGGGAAACTACGACTGACTGCGGGTCACTGCTGGAGAAGCGGAATCCCAGCATGACTGTGGAAAGTTGAGTGGAAGGAAAAAGTGGTAGATGGAGGTTCTGTTCTGTAGGATTGTTGTGGGTTGGAGGTTCTGAATTTTGTGAACAGAAATAAATATTGAAATATTTCATTTGGGGAGGAATGAATGTTAGAATATCTCAATGTTTCATTTTCCTGTCTGAAAAATGGAGGTTTTATTTCCTGATGGAGTCAGAACCAGAACCGGTGGAATGTCCTGATGTGGACCGAATGTCTGAGCTCCAAACTGACCTTCATTTGACTTGATCTAATCAACCTCTGGAGAAGTCTGGCACAGAAAATGGAAAATTAACAAGAAGACTAAATGTGTCAATACTAGAAGTTGACCACCAGGGGTCAGAGTGGAGCTATGAAACTCTCAGCACAACATGGAGAGTAGAAGAACATGAAGCCAGAAATCGTTCTTCACCCAGGAAATCGTTCTTCGGCCAGAACTTCAGCCGTTCCAGCTCTGGATCCACAAAGAACCGCAGTTCTGGTTCTGCAGCTTTGGACCCGTCCAGGTAAGAAGAACTAACTAATAAATACTGACTAATAAAACGTCAGTCAGTCTGGTTTTCACGAGACGCAGACCAGCTTTCATCACATTTGCAGTCTTTATTGACGTCATCTCCACACCAACAAGAACCATCTACAACACGCAGCAAACGGCCCCAGCTGTGGCTTCAGGTGAGGTTCCAGCTGTGGCTTCAGGTGAGGTTCCAGCTGTGGCCCCAGCTGTAACTTCAGGTGGGCCCCAGCTGTGGCTTCAGGTGAGGCCCCAGCTGTAACTTCAGGTGGGCCCCAGCTGTAACTTCAGGTGGGCCCCAGCTGTGGCTTCAGGTGAGGCCCCAGCTGTGGCTTCAGGTGGGCCCCAGCTGTGGCTTCAGGTGAGGCCCCAGCTGTGGCCCAGGTGTTCCTCCAGGTGACATCAGGAGTTCACCACCAGCAGCTTCTGCATGTAGGAGTTGAGCCACTTCTGTCTCTCCATGGAGGTGAGCAGTTTGCTCTTCTCCCTGAAGGCGGCGTCGTCCGCCACCACCATGTTCCTCTTCACCATCCGGGCCCCTTGTGACGCCCACTGTGCCGGCCAGACGCTGGAGACGACACGGACAGTTATGGAGGTTTTGTCCTGTCCAGCAGTGAGTCGAAACAGATTTACTTTCATCAGTGGAGCGTTACACGGAGAGGGACTATTTCTTTGTAAATATTGCGGATGAGCGCGCGAGCAGACTGCATAAAAAAGCCACTTGCTATGGTTACCTGCCTTGTGTTGCTGTTTTAACTTTTCATGTTGCTGAGGTAAAAACTGACGTCAGTGAATGAGAAGTTCGGCGGCCGGATGTGACGCGCTGCGTGAAAGTAATGAGGTTTCCATGGTGGCGAGGGAGCGGCGGGCCGCGATTGGCTGCCTGATGGTTTAAGCAGAATAAGATTTTCTTGCTCTCTTTGTGCAGAAAGACCACTGAACCGAACCGGACCCAATCGAACCGAACCGGACCGACCGAACCGAACCGGACCAACCGAACCGGACCCAACCGAACCGGACAGGACCGAACCAAACCGAACCGAACCGGACCGAACTGGACTTCTTACAGAGAAACAGGAAACCATTTCTGGTAACAAGTCAGTCATTGGTATTCTGGCTCTGGTTCTGGTCCAGAGTACAGAACCAGCATGGGTCGGTCTGCCAGACGGTTCTGTTTGGACCCAACCCAGACTGGTGGAACGTGGTAAGCGCTTCCTGAACACCAGGGGGCAGCACAGAAACAACCCAGACCTGCACGAAGCTGGAAAAAAAAATGTATAAAATAGAATTTTTAATCCTGTAAACATAAAATGTTGAAACTCGACAAACGGAGATTTAGGTGGAACAATAATGCTGGAACAGAAACCGGCTCGGTTCTACTCATTCATGGGTCCAGTTGTTCTGTCTACATTACTCGCCTCTTCTGAGGATGACCAATGGTCTGATTGTCATGCTGGCGCCCCCTGCTGCTCCATCTATGGTATTTATTGAATCGAACTAGAAAAAGTCTTTTTGCGTCAATTTCCCTCATTTCATCTTCTGGACATTTGATGGCAGGGAAGCGACCAGAACCAGCTGATCGGTCGGTATTTACAAAGACTTCATCTAGAAGTTTGAAACAGTTTGGGTCAGAATCTGGCTTCGCTACCTGGCCTCTGGATGTTCCGGAGCGAACAGCCAGGCGTCCCCCATCAGACCAGCCTGGATGTTCCAGTCATGGAGGGAGATGGACGGGAACAGGACATCCCAGTCGTCCCGCTTCGTTTCCTGCGGATCTTCAGGATTTCTGGAATCACAGACATGAAACGGGATGAACGAGTTTTAAAAAGATTCAAGCCGAGGTTGAGCCCACCTGAGAGGAAGACGAGGCTGAGGGAAAGCTGAGGAAGAAAGGACCAGGAGCCAGATGAGCAGGAAGGACAGACGAGACACGGAAAACAGCTCTGACATCCTGGAACACAAGAAAACCTCTGAGCTAATCTGGTCTCAAGATATCGTTAGATTCATCCCAGTGGATCCAGTTGGTCCAGTTCTTTATCCGTAAAACAATTTGTTGTTGTGACCCGGGTCGGTGGACACGATGTCCAGGTTCATCAAACGTTTATTTCATCTTGAAGATCTGAGGAACAGCATCCCAGCAGGACGGCATCCGTTTCCAAGGTGATTGAGTTTCAAGAATTTTACAGAAAAATGAAAAATAAAATGTATAAAAATGAAACTAAAAACTTGATTTTTGTTGCAGGTTTCTGATCAGAACCTCCAATCACCAGAACCTTAAGGGACCAGACCCAGGTGAGAAATCCACAACCAGAACTTGGTGCTTTCAGAAAATCAAACTGGCCAAATTAAAATCAGAACTGGGAGGTTCTGGTTCAGGTTCTGATCCAGAAGAAAAAAAGCTTACCTGCTGCTCAGAACCAAAACTGCAGAGTTTCCACTGATAGACCGGCAGCAGAACAACCTAAACTGGACCGGATCGCAGAGCCTGCAGCGTCCCGCTTATATGGCTGCTGATCGTGGGTGGTGGTGGGGGGTCGGGGTCGGGATGGGGGTGGGGGGGGGGTGGGGGTGGGGGGTAGCTGAGCAGCAGCCTGACGACCACCGGAGCTCGTTAGTGTCCGCTTCAATCACAGCGAAGCCGCTGCTGCGTCTTGTTGCCCTGCCTGCCTCCAGCCCTCCGACCCGCCCTGCCGGGTAACGAACATCATTACTCAGCTGCAGTGCAGACATGTTTCATCTCCTCCATGGATACAGAGGAACAAATCGGACGCATGTCTTCAGACTGGTAACCAGTAAGGGTTAGGGAATCCAACATGGAGAGTCTGCAACGAGTAACGCTGACTTTGTACGACCAGAACCAAACGAAACCAAACAGAACTCCACATTCTCTCTGGTTCAGGTTGGTTGTTTCTAAGGCTAAACTCTCCTCCGGTTTTTGGACGTGTTGAAAAAGTTTTTGTTGCCTTCATGCTAACGCCAACGTTCCTCACCTCAGCATGCTCAACGCTGAAGACTAAAAGTCAGACTGTCAGCATGACCTTTTCTCCACCACCATGATCCCGCCCTCAACAGTTGATCGATGTTCAAAGATAGAGGGAAGAAACTAAAAACAACCGTGAAAGTAACGTCCCCGGCTGCTGCCCTGCAGGACTCTGGGAAATTCACCATCCCAATACAACGAAACCATTGAGGGTGGGACGACCCGCTGAATCCTGTTCACTTCTTCAAATGTTTTCACCATAAGTCAATAAAATATATATATTTAAATAATGTTTCTGCAGACCACCTTAACAGCATGTGAGTCACTTCCAGGTCAGGCTGGGTGCTGAATATGTAGAGCAGCCTGAACATGGTATCGTGTCCAGCAGCGATGAAAGTACTAAAGGATGGAATGGGGCCCTTTGGCCCCTGAGCTTACATCAAACCTCCAGAAATAAAACCTGGAAGCGTCTGAGAACTTTGTTGCAAATCTTGTTGGAGTTAATGACCTGCAAACAGGAAGCAGAAGCTTTAACAAAGGCTCAGCAAGGTTTATTTTCACGGGATAACAAGCTTCAGGCGTGACTCACTCACATTATGCATGCTGCCTTCATTTCCATGGCTGCAGTTCTGCTCCTTATTTCACTGAAGATGAAACGTCTAACGGGACGTCTTGTTTCCTCCGGAGGCCGACACCAGAACCGCACCAAACACACGCTGGGATTCTGGTCCTGTTGCCTGTTCATGAAACGTTCAACCGGCTGTCGGAGTTTTGACTCTGCAGGCAGTGAATAATTTTGGCAAATGTTGATCTGCATCTTCTACGATTATTTGCTAGTTCAGTCCAGACTGTCAGACGACAACGTCTTTGTCCAGAGAGGAGGCTAACGCAACGTGAGCTAGTGGGAGCTAACCATAACCCGGTTCTCTATAACCCGGTTCTGCGTTACCCGGTTCTCTATAACCCGGTTCTACATTAACCTGGTTCTCTATAACCCGGTTCTGCATAACCCGGTTCTCTATAACCCGATTCTACATAACCCGGTTCTGCATTAACGGTTCTGCATTAACCGGTTCTACTCTACCCGGTTCTACATAACCCGGTTCTACATTAACCCGGTTCTCTATAACCCGGTTCTGCATAACCCAGTTCTACAAAACCCAGTTCTACATCAACCGGTTCTGCATTAACCGGTTCTACTCTACCCGGTTCTACATAACCCGGTTCTACATTAACCCGGTTCTCTATAACCCGGTTCTGCATAACCCAGTTCTACAAAACCCAGTTCTACATCAACCGGTTCTGCAATAACCGGTTCTACTCCACCCGGTTCTTCATAACCCGGTTCTACATTAACCAGTTCTCTATAACCCGGTTCTACATTAACCAGTTCTCTATAACCCGGTTCTACATTAACCGGTTCTCTATAACCCGGTTCTACATTAACTGGTTCTCTATAACCCGGTTCTACATTAACCGGTTCTGCAATAACCGGTTCTACTCCACCCGGTTCTCTATAACCCGGTTCTACATTAACCCGGTTCTACATTAACCGGTTCTCTATAACCCGGTTTTACATAACCCGGTTCTACATTAACCAGTTCTCTATAACCCGGTTCTACATTAACCGGTTCTCTATAACCCGGTTCTACATAACCCGGTTCTCTATAACCCGGTTCTACATTAACCGGTTCTGCAATAACCGGTTCTACTCCACCCGGTTCTCTATAACCCGGTTCTACATTAACCCGGTTCTACATTAACCGGTTCTCTATAACCCGGTTCTACATAACCCGGTTCTACATTAACCAGTTCTCTATAACCCGGTTCTACATTAACCGGTTCTCTATAACCCGGTTCTACATAACCCGGTTCTACATAACCCGGTTCTCTATAACCCGGTTCTACATTAACCGGTTCTGCATTAACCGGTTCTACTCCACCCGGTTCTACATTAACCGGTTCTCTATAACCCGGTTCTACATCATTTGGTGTTTTTGTGTTTTTATGGCGTAAGAAAGTCTGAAGTGCCGTGTAGCTGAAATAAACCTGATCAATCAATCAGCGCCGATGATCAGATGACATCAGAACCCAGTTTTGGACCCAGCTGTGGCTCAGAACCAGTGAACCCTCCGGGTTCTTGTGGTTCTCCACCAGAACAACGCGTCAGCAATGGCCCATAAACCGGTGTCAAAACCGGACCAGAACTTTGGTCCAGTCACCATATCTGCAGTTCTGACCCATTTGGTGCTCAGAGTCAGAGAACGTGTTCTGAATTAGAACTCAACGTGAGTCGGAACCAGAAACAGACCCGACATCTGGAAATCCTTTCACCTTTGACCCCCAGCTCCACAGGAAGTGGCTGATGATGACGAGCGAAGGGGCCCCGGGCCCCCAGGACGACATCGGGTCTGGATCAGAACTTTTCCCATTTGTGGTTCTGGACCTGGTTCTGACCTGTAATGCAGCAGAACTAACAAAAACCTAAAAAAAAACTTTAGTCAAAAAATGTACGGAGTCAGAAAACAACAGAATTTACAACCTGAACAATTTTTATTTGTAAACATTTATTTATAGAAATTAAATCTAAATATCTTCAAACAAAATGAAGCAAAACCCGAAGATGAAGGAAGAAAATGAAAATCAAAAGTTCTGCTGAGCTGATCACTGGTTCCGATACCACCATCATCATCATCATCATCATCATCAGATCACCCTGTCTTTTCAGCTATGACGTCAAAACAAACAACCCCACGTGACCTCCTGGTTCGGGCTGCTCAGAGTGGGTTGTGTCCTGCGTGTCCGGGGCGGTTCTGGTTTTAGACAGGCTGGGCTGAACCCCAGTTTAAACACCCGAACCGGTTCTGATGGTTCTGCTGCTGAAATGAGAGCGTTCGGATCCAGAGGGACTTTCGGGCGTCACGTTCACGCGTGGAGCCTTTTCCACGATGGGACGGATACCTCTGTCCTAGGCTGAAGGACCGGACCCGGGTTCGGTTCTGGGGAAAGTTTGGAGCAGAACTTTGGGAAGAATGAAGCCGAGAGACGCGCTGCGTGTCTGGCTGCTGATCCTGGCTGCAGAGTCCAGCCGTGGGCTCCCCGCGGACCGGAACACGGAGTCCAGTCCTCAGGTAAACCTTTGGACCTTCAGCTCATTCAGAGCGAGAATCACCTCGGAACCTTTCGACCCAAAACTCCAGATTTCCGCTGATGTTCGGTTCTGAACGCAAAGCGGAGCCTCCAGGTCCAAATGAGCGTAAATATGACGTCACTTCTAAAACCCTTTCCTCTTCATGGCGTGTTAGCAGCTGACCCTTCAGGTTCTCCTGAGCTGGACACACAAGATCTGAGTGGTGCGTCTGCTCTAAAACACAGAAACAGCTTTTATTTTGGTGATCATCTCAGGGGGCCGAGGATGGAACCCTGGGGAACACCCCCGCTAACGCCTAGCTCAGGTTGCTGGTTGAAATCCTTGCTGATATCACAGGAAGATACTCTGTGTTCGCTAAAATGACCAGCCTGCGGTTCTGATCTGGAACTTGGACCCAAACCGTTTTGACCCAGCTGCATCTTTTGAAATGCAGAGTTTGGCTCAGAAACTGGAAGCCTTCAGCTCAGAGGAAATGGACCCCCTCCCCCAACATGCCTGGAGCTGCTCGGCTTTAACCGTTTAGCTAAAAATACAGAAACTCGACCCTGGAGACGGGCCGCCGGATCGCAGGACCAGAACCCTAACCAGAGCAGTTCAGGATCTTGGAGCGCATTCTGGATCCAGGAAATGTTTCTGCTCTGTCCAAACTGATTGGGTCGCCGCTGAATCCAGAACTTTGGTTCCTTCAGGATCGGCGGAGAATCTTCCTCCAACAGCTGCTGAAGCGTCCATGAAGATCCTTCTCGTTTCAGCCGCTGCCGTCGGTCCGGCTCAACCTTTGTCTCTATTTTGCAGATCAGAGCTGAGGAGCAACCAGATCATCCCAGCCAGGAAAAGCTGCTGCAGATGCTTCCTCCTCCATCTTCCTCCACTTCCACACACCGCTGGGCTCAGCGGCAGGACCTCCACCCATCACCTGCACCCGAGGGGGAGGAGCCTGGAGCCTTCATCCTGGACCTGAGGAACTTCCCTGATCTGGCCAAGGCTTATGTGAGCTCCCAGAATCCCAGCATCCAGGTAGGAACGTCTGCTTGTTGTCTGCTTTGCAAAGGTTCTGGGTTCTGAGCCGTAGAGAGCCGGCGGCTCCAGACAGAGCTGGACCCGCCTGGAGGTGACTCGGTGTTCCCCGACTCCATATCAGTGCATCTCTTCCTCCAGTGAACAGATTACTCTGAGATTACGCCAACATGTCCGCCAGAGGAATCTGTCCCATCCTGACTTCTTCTGTCTGCAAACTGTAAAAAACAATCTGACTTCAGATCAGTTCTGGCTTTCTGGCCGGTTGACGCTGCTGAAAGCATGGAGGCGGCGCCGGTCACAGAGTTCCTAGCGAAGACAGAAGTCTGTTGTTCTGTCTGGGCAGAAACAAGCCGAGCAGCAGGACGCAGACGAGTCGAGGGGGTTTCAGCACCTCAGAGGTTTCACCGTGAAAAACATGGAGGAGCAGCAGGAAGGACCAGGTGGTGCAGCCAGCATTCAGGGTGGAGACCAACAGAGGTCCAAGGATGGAGCTTTAATTGTCAGGTGGACCTTAGGTGGAGCTACCTGGTGGAGCTAGCCGGCGCAGCTAGCTGGGACGGTGCAGGTGGTGTCAGTGCTGCGGGTGGAGAACTCTCTTCCAGGCACTGCAAGTTGTTTTTCCACTGAGTGGAGAGATCGCTGAGTCACGCCGTCTTCCTGGAGCTGAGAACTCTCCGTCTCTGCAGGGGAAATAAAACAATGTTCTCACTCACAGCAAAGAAAAAAAAAAAACCGTCTTCGCTGCAACCAGGACGGAGCCTCCAGCGTCACGGTGGCCTGTGACCCCACGGCCTGAAGGTCAAACACCGTCTCCTCGGATTTTAAACGATGATGATAATTTATATCACTCCACTCACCAAATGCATTCACCTCTAGAGTGCAGTGAGACGTCTGAGTCCTGGAAGACATTTGTGTAATAGTGAGCAGGACACTCTGAACGGTTGCTTTGGAGTGGCCTAATCAAAGTCCAGACTTCAGTTTGATTGAGATGCATAATTGTAACCTTCAGCAGGAGGCACAGCTGGTTCTGTCCCAGTAGAGAGGAATTTGAATTCATGAAATCTGAAAACACCTTTTCCTATTTGTCCAGGTGACCTTTGACCTGAAATATTTAAAGGGTTTTCCCAGCTGTTCATACAGCTTCCTGGTGAAACTGTTAGAACAAAAGGAGCTGATTAGCATCTGCTACTGTTAGCACATCCAGATGCTTCTTGTTGCAGGTGACCATCGAGGTGATGGAGGACTCCCAGACCGAGGTGGAGATGGACCTGGCCAAGGAGAACCAGCGCAGCGATTGGTCCGTGTCGCCGTCTGAGTGGATGAAGCTGTTCTGGCCGCTATTCTGGGGGAGCGGGCCGGCAGGAACCGGACCTGAGGACTACGGCTACGACCCGACGGACGCTGTGCTGGGTGGAGTGGGAGCAGACGGCTGGAGCGAAGACGGGGAGGACAAAGGCGGCTTTGGTGAGACGTTGCAGATGCTTCTCCCCTTGATCCACCTCAAGGACTCATCCTTGAAACACAAAAGATTCCCTTCCAGGACAGAGCGAAGCAGAGGAACGTCCGGCTTTCCGGTCTCGCTCTGCCGGCTCTTTTCTCCTTACTTGCTCCCCAACCGAGGGAGGAATTTCCAACGTGAACTTCAACAGTCCGGCCTCTGCTTGGGGTTTTCACCGCCCATCCATCTGCTGTGTGTTTTCAGAGAATGAAGAGTGGAGCGACTGGGCCCCGTGCAGCGCCACCTGCGGACCGGGATCTCAAAAACGGACGCGGCCCTGCGGCTACGGCTGCACAGCAACAGAATCGCGCACGTGTGACCTGCAGAGCTGTTCCAGTAAGACACAAACCAGTTTATGGCGTTGTGATCCACTGGGGGTGAATCATTCTGCACAGCCTCAGATCTTCTGATGAGAGGCGGCGCGTCACCATCAATCACCTTTCTGTCCGTCTTCGTCTCGTAGGCGCTGCGGTCTCAGACACCGAGGCGACGTCGCCCCACCGGTTCAACAACACCGACTCCAGTACGTATCTTTTTTCTTTCACCCTTATGGCAGTTCCTCTGCTCCAGTTTCAGGTTTATTGATGCGATGCACCAAACGCAGGAAATGATCCGTTTTTTTCCGATGTCAGACTTCAGGAGATGAACGTCTGACTGGCAGAGATCTGGAACTGAAACCAGCCTCTTTTCCTCCATGTTTCAATAAACAACCAGATCAAATATTTTCATTTCTGCTCAAACTGTTTCATCAGATTTAACAGCATTCCATTTGCAAACAAAGTTACCATTCTGGATTTATGGTCTGTGTTAAAATGTTAGGACTTATGGCCCTTAAACAGCTGCTTAGCTTTCTTCTGCTTTGGGCCGGCTCTAAACGTGATCAGCATGTTATTAGATCTACTGCCTGATCACTCAAACTAATCTTGGATTTGTTTTGAAAGTCAGTCGTTAGCCTCGTTTTCTCTCTTTTGGCTCCATTTCAGTTCTTATTGATCGGCTCCATCGGTTGAAAAATGTTTAACGTTTTCCTGCGACGGACCTCCGGGTTTCAGGCCGGGACCCTCCTGGCCAGGCTAACTGTGATGTCTCCCACTCAGGCGTGGACAGCTGTGAAAAGTGGCTGAGCTGCAGGACCGAGTTCCTCCAGAAGTACCTCCAGCAGGTGCTGACCCAGCTGCCCTCTTGCCCCTGCTCCTACCCCTCCGAGGCCGTCTACGGCGCCATCAGCGTCCCGGACCGCAGGCTGCGCAGGACGTACCGCTGGAGAGACGCCAGCGGACCCAAAGAACGGCTGGACATCTACAAACCTTCGGCCCGGTTCTGCGTCCGCTCCATGCTGTCCTACGACGGCCCGACGCTGGGGGCGCAGCACTGCTGCTACGACAACCAGATGAGGCTGATCACACGCGGCAAAGGCGCCGGAACGCCGGACCTGATCGGCGCCGAGTTCTCCCCGGAGCTGCACTACCAGGTGGACGTCCTGCCCTGGATCCTGTGCAAAGGAGACTGGAGCCGGTTCCACTCGGCCAGGCCGCCCAACAACGGGCTGACCTGCCCGGAGAACCCGGCCGAACCGGCGTTCCAGATGGAGCTCAGAGAGGCCCGAGAGTACTGAAGGCCGGTTCCGAGAGACAGAACCATCCGTCCAAACCTGAGCAGCTGTCTGTGTGTGTGTGTGTGTGTGTGTGTGTGTGTGTGTGTGTGTGTGTGTGTGTGTGTGTGTAGGAGCTTATTTATTATCCAGGGAACATTTCCTATCATAGAGTGGCTGAACAGGAAGCATATTCTGTGAACTGTAAAATGTCTATTATTATTATGAGTGAAAATAAGTCAGCGTCACATAACACAATAATACTTGAAACAAAAATATGAATTGTACTTCAAGCTCTTTTATTTTTATTACCACTGCTGCTAAAATAACTAATCATTATACTACATACAACATTTTTTTCAAGTTATTTTATTATGTAAACCCAAACAAACTAGAATAAATTCTGGCAACATTTTCCTGTTCAATGCTTTGCTTCTTGGAGCCCTGACGTTAGCCCTGACGTTAGCCAGGCTACGTGCTCTGTTAGCCCTGACGTTAGCCCTGACGTTAGCCCTGACGTTAGCCAGGCTGCGTGCTCTGTTAGCCCTGACGTTAGCCCTGACGTTAGCCCTGACGTTAGCCAGGCTGCGTGCTCTGTTAGCCCTGACGTTAGCCCTGACGTTAGCCAGGCTGCGTGCTCTGTTAGCTCTGACGTTAGCCCTGACGTTAGCCCTGACGTTAGTCCTGAGGTTAGCCCTGACGTTAGCCCTGACGTTAGCCAGGCTGCGTGCTCTGTTAGCCCTGACGTTAGCCAGGCTGCGTTCTCTGTTAGCCCTGACGTTAGCCCTGAAGTTAGCCCTGACTTTAGTCCTGACTTTAGCCCTGACGTTAGCCAGGCTGCGTGCTCTGTTAGCCCTGACGTTAGCCCTGACGTTAGCCAGGCTGCGTGCTCTGTTAGCCCTGACGTTAGCCAGGCTGCGTGCTCTGTTAGCCCTGACGTTAGCCCTACGTTAGCCCTGACGTTAGCCAGGCTGCGTGCTCTGTTAGCCCTGACGTTAGCCCTGACGTTAGCCCTGACGTTAGCCAGGCTACGTGCTCTGTTAGCCCTGACGTTAGCCCTGACGTTAGCCAGGCTGCGTGCTCTGTTAGCCCTGACGTTAGCCCTGACGTTAGTCCTGAGGTTAGCCCTGACGTTAGCCCTGACGTTAGCCAGGCTGCGTGCTCTGTTAGCCCTGACGTTAGCCAGGCTGCGTTCTCTGTTAGCCCTGACGTTAGCCCTGAAGTTAGCCCTGACTTTAGTCCTGACTTTAGCCCTGACGTTAGCCAAGCTGCGTGCTCTGTTAGCCCTGACGTTAGCCCTACGTTAGCCCTGACGTTAGCCAGGCTGCGTGCTCTGTTAGCCCTGACGTTAGCCAGGCTGCGTGCTCTGTTAGCCCTGACGTTAGCCCTGACGTTAGCCAGGCTGCGTGCTCTGTTAGCCCTGACGTTAGCCCTAACATTAGCCCTGACGTTAGCCCTGACGTTAGCTATGCTGCGTGCTCTGTTAGCCCTGACGTTAGTCGGGTAAGTTTCCTTCGTAGACAAATTTGCAAGTAGAATCCATGAATAAACTGACAAAAACAACTTCAACCTTTCAGTTCAATTCTTCCGATTCTCACTTCCGATCTGCATCATGACTCTTTGAATGATTAAGTGACGTAGTTGCAAAGGGTCAATACTTGGTATCCTCTTTGTCATCAACGCTGTTTTAACCTGAACAATGTGATATTATCTGGAAGCCATCTGGCTAATGGCTCAAGGCTTCGTCTCAAATAAATACGAATCTATCTGAATAAAAGAACAACACTAATGTGTGTGTTGATAACTGTATGAAAAAAAGATCTGTCATATTATCCTCAGTAAAATGCTTGGCTCCCTCTTATCACCTGCAGAACGAGATTTCTGGAGCCGCCCTGGTGACGGCTCACAAACTAGAAAATACAATTCAAAGAAAGCATGCTGTCCTCTACTTAGTGCGGCGTGTCACTAAAATTATGTACCTAAACAAAACAACAAATGAAACGTTGGTTTCACTCCAGAAACATTTGTGTAACATAACCACTATGTTTGTTTCTTTTTGGAGTAAATATATTAAAAAGTAAAAGTAGCAACCCGTCTTGTAGAACAGTTGTGATTTTGGGAGATATGGGACTCCTTTACGGACAAAATTTTCATATATAAGGAACGGGAATATTTGGACAATGAATTATTAATTTTGGGTGCTGATTCAACCCAACTGATGGGAATTTGTCCTAAAATTGTTTTTGGTTTACTGATCTATAGATCAGGATAACTATCATTAATTCTTTCTACTGTTTTTTTTTTTAAATAAATAATGGTTGGTAAAAATCTATTAATTTCTTATTGAGTGGTTGAATATTTGTGCTTTTTTAATCAAATTAACCCATGTAACACTTATTGCCTACTTTCCTGAGACAAGATCCCCTTGTGTGTTTTTGTGAGTTCTGCTTTAATCAAGTAGAATTTTACATTTGTACAATCTTTAATAAACATAAAATATTTGACATCAGTTTAACCAAACTGTACAACATTTATCAATGTAAGTCCCAAGTGTTGTACGGTGGAGCCATTTTGGTTCCTGCTTTGGTTTAGTTAAAGTGCAAGGAAAGCTGAGCTGATCCTGAAACATCTCTCTGAATTCTCAATCTACAGTTTTCTGAATCTACAGTTTTCTGAATCTACAGTTTTCTGCCCCCCAGGAGACAAACCAACACCAGACACATAAACACCTCAGACTTTTACTGCTTTTGTTGCAACCTGGATATTAAAAAGAATCTTCTGAAGACTTTGTGCAGCAGTGAGTGTTGATCTGTTGAAGGAGCATCTACGCTCTAGATCCTCTGATCTACGCTCTAATGTAGATCAGAGGATCTAGATCTGAATGGAAAGAAGCAGATCTGGAGTCCAAGCATCTGAAGGGAACGGGAGTCCGGTCAGACCGATGTTGGTGTTAGGGTTCGGGTTAGCATGCAGGCGTTCACATGAATTTTGATGGCCAGAGGTTTATTTCAGGAGGAAGATTTCTTGTTACATGAAAACTTCTCCATGGTTACAGTCATGTTGTAATTATTTGACTGAGTCTTGCTTACACCAATAGCTTTGCAATAATATTTCTGTTGTTTCCAATTTATTGTTAAATTGTCAATAGGCTCAAAGTTTTTGGGTTTGAATCAAAATGTGACCTTTTTTTCTCCAAGTCTGTTCAGTGAATCATGTTTTATCGACTAATCTTCACCGGTTCATTCCTCCGTTTGCATCGCAGAGAGAACCGCGTTAAACCGAGGAGTCTGACCTGCAGAGGCTAAAATAACATGTGGGAAGTGATTTAGTTGGCAGCTCAAGAATGCCTGAGGGGCCAAAAGTCCAGCTGCAGGGATCATCAGCAAGGACCCAGAGCATCTTTAAACACTCCATGCAGTTTATTTCAGCCCAGGAACAAGAACTCATGGACAACACACTCAAGACAACTGCAACTGCAAAGATGTGAATGAAAGATTGAAAGCAGAAACTGTGACTTCAGCAGTCTGTGGTCCCTGACAGCCAATCCAAACGTTTGAGAGGACAGCAGCGTTCAGACATTCATCACAAACCCCAGAAACCGACCGAGCCCCAAAACCAGAACGGCTCCGGAAAGAATAAATCGCTCCATCGGCTGCTGGGGACGGTCGCATCACGTTTCCTAGTTTATGATTCAGTTCATTCAGTTCCCGATCGGGGACATGGCTCCACAGTTTGTGCATCAAATTAAAATAAAATGTTGAATAGATTTGATCATCCGCCGGACATCCTGACCTCTAGGCTCCAGTGGCACATGATGAAACTGGATTTTATTCTTGCTGACCTGGTAAATGACCAGTTGGTCCAACTGGTCCAACTGGTCCGACTGGTTCAGCTGGTTCGGCCGGTCCAACTGGTTCAACTGGTTCGGCCGGTCCAACTGGTTCAACTGGTCGGACTGGTCCAACTGGTCCAACTGGTCCAACTGGTAATGCGACGGAGACCAGAGCTCCGTCGCACTACTGAATGCAGATGCAGCGACGTTCTAGGTTCATGTTATGTGTTTCAGAATAGATTTGAAGTTGTTTTTCCTGGATAAACTCTAATAGATGCAACAGAACGGACTCAGAATGAGCAGAACCGGGTCACTTCCTGTTTATTCACTCTGTTCTTAAGGTTTCCCAACAGTCAGCAGAACTTAGAAATATTTTCAATTAAACTAAGACAATGTTCTGCTGGTTTGATTATTAAGAAAACCTTTTCCTGTTAATTTAAATGTGGGAGGTGACCTTTGACCTCAGCGGATAAAGTTTTCACAGCCCTCACTGAACAAGTTTGACTCTGCTGGCAGAAACATCTTCAAAGTGTCCCAGGCTAAATCTCTGTTTTTCTGAAAGTGTTGCTTCATCCAGACCAACCTGGCTGCAGAGACATCAGCCCGCCCGACCTTTCACCTTCATCTCTGCTACTGTGTTTATCTGATTTTATGGCAGTCGGGTCAGCAGGGCAACATGATGTCAGGAAATCCAGCTGTTGCTTAAACTTAATGAGAAGCAAACATTTGGCCTGAGGAGGAAAAAGCTCATGAGGACTCGGAGGACGGAGCGAATCAGAGAGACCCGCAGTGAACAATAATCACCACAAATCCCTCCAAGGCTTTTAGTCTTTGTTTTCTGACCGATCTCAGTGACCCGCGACAAGAAGGCATGAACAAACCTGAGATGTGCTGCCACAGTCACGAAACAAGAAACATCTGAGTTTCATTTTCAGAGCCAACGGGGGAGGGGGTCATTTTACATCATGTCTGTAGTCGCACTCTTCTGAACACTAGGAAGGTGTTTTATTGCTGCGTTGAGGAGTCAAATGCTGCTGAGCAGACTGGAGTGAAGCCACAGATCAGGAGGTGTGTGAACGATCTGGAGAAGGAAAAATGAAAGGATGTGTCTTTCATGTCTTGGTTGCAACACTTATCCATCTCTACATCTTACCCAACCCCTAACAGTTGATACTATGAAGCTTACCAGACTCTGTGGCTCTGCAGGTAGAACAGTTGTCTTGTGATTGAGCAGTTGTAGGTTCAATTTCAACTTTAATCCCATGTTGCCTATCGATGGGTGACTCTGGTGCAAAGTGCGATGAGTGTGAAAGAGCGATAAGTTCAGTCCTTTCGCTCTGAAGACTGAACTTATAGCCTTCAGAGCTGTAAGACTGATTTTATGGCAGTCAGGGGTCAGCAGGGCCCACAAGGGCCCTCTGCACTCAGAGCAGAAACACAAGAATGTGTTTAGCGGAAATGGGCTGCGCTGTAAACGCCTGGCCTCCACTGCAAGCAGGCAGCTGTTGATGTTCATTTGATATTTGGAAGCTGAACGGCTTCATTCACTTCCTCCATTGCTAAAACTACAAGCAGATCTAGAAATGCATTTCTTTGTCATTGTTAGGGATGGGAATTGATAAGGATTTATCAACACTGACTCTGTTATTGATCTCACTTATCGATTTGATTCCTTGTCAATTCTCATTGGATTACGAAATAAACTCTATTTTAAAATATGCACCATGTTGGTGCATAATTTGTTGGTGATTCAAACAAAATTTAAACCGGAAAAAAATATGTCTGTCCAATTAACTTTAATCGCAACTTTCTGCACTTTAACAGTTTCAACTGAAAATAGGGTGAACTGGTGATGGTCCTGCTTGAACCCAGCCTCTTTCCCCATGACTGCACTGATAACCAGATATAGCTCAAAAAACAAGTCAAAATGAAACATTTTTATGTTTATTGCAGACCCACACCGATTTATTTCACTTTGAATCTGAGGGACTGCAAACCTACATTCAGATTCAACAAGTGCAATGCTGACATCTAGTGTTAGGAAGCAGAAGTGACTGAATGAAACTATTGAATATGTTTTTTTGTTAGAAACCAACCTACAATTTGCAAGGCAACTTTGTATTTGTGTAGCATCATAGGTTATTTATAAGAACACTGCTTTGATCCAAAGACCATAATTTTCATTAAAGAAACAGTACTTATAAATACACACTCACTTTCAGTTATGTATTCTTTATTTTGATTGGAGTTTTATTTTAAAGGGTCATAGTTTTATTTTATTTTTTAATAGCCAGTGGAATGTATGACGTTTTCGGAGACCTCAATAATAATTAATTACTATTTACAGATACTTGAAAGTGGGTGTTGAAAATATTAATCTTATATAGTATGATGTAGAAAAAAAACTAAAGAAATGGAGCAGTCCAGGCCCCAGCGAGGATCGAACTCGCGACCCCTGGTTTACAAGACCAGTGCTCTAACCACTGAGCTATGGAGCCAACACGCTGCGCTCTGCCGCCGGCTGCCGGTTAAATGATGAACTGCGGACGGTGCGTCTCCCTGTCCAGAAGTCCAACCCCCAGTTTCATCAGTGCAGCTGCTTGTTTCCTTTGTTTCGGTTATACATCCTGGATGCAAACACCGTCTACCAAGAACGATAGTAATTATTGGTAAATCCTTCTGCAACAGCGCCCCCTGCTGCTCAGTGGTCAGCAAAAGTAACCACTGGTCCTGACGGTGTGATGAAGATGCTTCATCATCTTCAGTTAATTTTGTTTAGATGAACATTTTGTTGTGGTTATTGGAGAATTGGTGTCAGCTGAAAATTAATAACTGGAATCAATTAAATTATACTGAAGACTTGAAAGAAAACAAGAAAAGGTAAAAATATTTTTACATACCCAATGAATCTATAATATATGAAACTGTAAATATAAATGTAAACCATGAAACTCCAGTGTATGTATAACAGAACCATAACCTTCAGTTCATGTTCTTCTAGGGCCGACATGTTTTATTCTGGCCTTCATTTAACGCACCTGGATCAAATAGTGGCTCGTTAGAGGAACATTGAGCTGGAGAGAAGTGAAACATGCAGGATGCCGGCCCTCCAGGACCCACTTTGAGGACCCCTATTCTAACCCATTTCTCATTCTTAGTTTGTTTTATATGTTCAGGGTTGTAGAGTGTCTAGATGACAATAAGGTTTGTGCAGAATTAACTTGTAAAAAAATGTGTAGAAAATTTGTGCATTTCCTGCTGCAAGCTAAAAGTTTTTGCTGAGATTTGCTGAAGCATTTGAAGTCAACTGTGAAAAATATCTGCAAAAATTTGATAAATTTCCAAAAATATTTTAAAAGGATAAACTGTCTAAATGCTTGGCAAACACTGTAACTTTCCTGACAGGTAGAGCTTTTCTCAACGGCTTTATATCTGAAACGTTACTCCAGACTTTTTCTACTCGGATCAAGAGGAATTTGGTAGATATTTCCTCAGGCGACGGCATGTCGAGCTTGAAGTAGTTGGCTTTCAAAGAGAACTAAGTTTGACTCAGGTTTGCAGAGCTTCTTTTTTCAATGCATTTCAGTTGAGCAAAAACTGAAAGCAAAAGCTGAATATTGTAATAAGTATAAACCATTATCATAAATTATAGCTGTGATGTTGTTAATGAGCTGAATAATTTGAAAAGTGCATGGGTGCCAAAACCAATGTTTGATATAAAATGAGATAACAGAGAAAGTGTCTAATCATCAGCACTGATAGGTGATCCGACAGAACCACCGGAAAACTGTTTATCTGACCTCATCCAGTAGAAACAAAAGCACCAATAAATTACTTTCATAAGTTCAATAAGATTATTTGTTTACAGCTGAGCAAAGTAAAAAACATGTATTGTTTTAAGTGAATGAAGTGTGCTGAAAACACTTTAAAACTGGAATATTTGTGGAACAGTTGTATTTGTGTGCTGCTGCTCTTCTTTGAGCTCTTACGGTGTAGAGCAACGGCGCCCTGCAACAGGCAACCAGTTGATATTCTGCTGCAGGAGTTGGGAACTGGGTTTTAGGTTTTTGCCTCTTTGGGGAAATTTTTGTTACCTGCTGCTTCCCTCATCATCCACTGGACCAGGGGTGGGCAGGTGTCCTGCAATTCTTAGGTGTCTCCCTGGTCCAACACATTTGAATCAAATAGTTGAATCACCTCGTATGTGCAATCGGGTTCTCCAGAGTCTTGCTAATGATCTCATTATTTGACTCAAGTGTGTTGAAGTAGAGATGCATCTAAAAGTTGATGCCCTCGAGGCATCGAGGCTTGGAGTTGCCCACCCGTCCTAGACGGTGCCAACAGGTTGCGCTACCTGATCTAGGAGTGTCTGAGGAACGGACTGCCAGCACTTTGATGCCTGAGTGTTGAGTTATGGTACTCTGCATCTCTCTGAGTCAGTGCTCTGAGTTCCTCTGAGAATATCTCTCATAATATTTCCTTGTTGCTTCTCTCTCAGGTGTTTCCTTGCAGCGTCTTGGATTATTACCCATTGGTTTCGTGAGTCCCTCTCCGCCTCTATTGAAGAATCATTGACGGTTCCCGTTTCCACGGCTGCATTGCTCCTCTCCTCTGAAAGAACTCACCTGTCGGCGCTCCACCGCAGCCGCTACCATCTGCCTCCAAGTACTGTCTGTCTGGATCTCACACTGGAACCAGGATGGTCTCAAGGACCCCTGCAAAGAGACCACAGTAATTCCCGCCTGGTGGAAACTCATCGTTTCGTCAAGTAAGCTCATTCCATTTTCCTCTGAAGTCCCATTTTGTCTGATTCATCTCAAACTCACCATCACTGCCTACATAGTGCAGACAACCTCTGGACAAGAACCACACAATCTCATATTTCATCATTGTTAAAAGAAACTTTATTTATCTAATTTCCTGACTGTCCTGAATGTGGATAAAAAGACGTGACATGACAGCAGACGCCTTCAAAAGGTTCCAATTAAAATCAATTATTTATACAACTCTCAAAATTTACCTTAACATTGGCATGCTGTGGTGGCGTAGTGGTTTAGCACAACCCACGTATGGAGACCTTAGTCCTCGACGTTACTGTTGCGGGTTCGACTCCTGGCCGCGGTGATATCTGCCGCATGTCCTCTTCTCTCCGTCCCCTCCCTCCTGTCAGCCTAATTAAAAAGAAAAACGGGCCGCAAGAGCCAACAAAGTCCTCAAAAAAAATGTACCTAAATATATCTACAACATAATACAATAAAATGAACAGTGAAGCAGACTTTCATTTCAATATTTAGTAGCATTTTATTCTAAGATCTGAAACATTAGAAAATGATTTCAACATGGTCGATGCAGTTGCTTGTTTTTCCTCTTTAGTTACTTTTAAAACATTGAAACAAGAGCTGCTTATCGACAACATCCCAGATATGAATGATCACGTTTGTACAGTCAGTGGATTTAAGGTGGATATCAGCGTAGTGCATTTATGAGATGAATGTCTTGGACTGAATGTTTTACCCAACTTCAGTATGGGGCAATAATAATGCAAACTCATTACAATCATTAAACTGCAAAAAAGGACAATAAGAATGAATATGGTCGGCTACCTGGATGACACAAATCCATTATTTACACATTCTAGATTAGTAAAACTTACTGATTTGTTGAATTTACAATGTGTGTCTTATTTAAAACACAAAATCAACAATTACCAGAAAACATGTAAAAATTGTTTTCAAAAGAAAGATTTTAAAATTTGAGAAAAATACAAATTCAAAGTTTTGTAAGATCAGAACCACGTGAAGTTTCAGTCTCTGGTGTGAAACTATGAAACTCTTTGGAATAAAATATGTTCAAACATTAAACAATTCAAACTTTTGTATAAGAAAATGGCTTACACTAAATGAGAAACTGTGTTGATGTATTATGTTGTTACATCTTTGTTAGCATCAACATTAATATTTTATAGTTAATACTATTAGAGCCACTAGCATATCACTGGATGTATTGCATTAATCAAGAATCAGGAAGTAGAATGAAAATGTACTAGTATAATTTAAACAAGATGAAATCATTTGTGATGTTGCTGGAGGACTGGATTTTTTTTCCCCTCTAGGTTTTTTTTTGTGTCTTTCTGTGATAGTAGGGTGACAGGAAGGGGGAAGACATGCAGCAAATATCGTAGGGTCAGGGAATCAAACCCGTGACGGCCACACTGAAGACTCTCAAGGCCTCCAAATGTGGGTTGTGCTTTCCCCTCACAACATGCCCTGGGAATGGCTTTTAATAAGGTTATACTTCAAACCACTGCTTTGAATGTTTGTTTTTGCATTGTTGTAATTTTATTGTAATTTGGCACGTTCAATAAAGTAAAAGAAAAAATGAACTGAATCCATATATTTTATTCCATCTAAAACCTCAAGATGACTTGATATGAATTTATTCTGCTGAACAAGCTGCAATTTGACAATTCAAAGCATTTTCTCATAACTTGATAAGAATTTCTTCCCTTTAATGAACTTTGGAGGGTATGTTGTGTTACAAGGTTTTCAGATTTTAGCACTTAGTTTGGTTAGTTTGAAGTATTTTTCTATTTCTGCTGCCAACTTCTAGGATTCTGCAGAGGGTTTTGAGTTTCCACAGATCACTCCAGCGTCTTCATAGTGGGCACAGTTATGGTTCCCCACTCCAGCATGTGTGCAGTTCAGCAGGTTGAACTCTGTGCCATTGCAATGAACATCATCCAGGAGAATCCGCAGTCCCTTTCCTTCTCCAAATTCAGCATTCCTGGCTGCTTTTAAGGCATACTTGAATCCCAGCTGTTTGCAGACCACCTCAGCATTCTTCATTGACCACAAGTCATCACACACGGTACCCCATTCCCCGTGAACGAAGATCTCCACCCGTCCACGGTCTCCATGCAAGAATTCATCCCTGACCAGTCTTACTGCTCCATTGTGAAGCTCAGACATGCTTCTGGACCTGCCTTTCCCCTTCCGACCGCGGCCTTTCCTCTTTGGACTTTGGGGTGATCTCGTGGTTGTAATCGGAGCAGGGGTGGTCTGGACTTGTCCTCTTTCACTGAGACGATCCAGGAGGTCCATAAGCCAGTCGTAGGTCCTTGTAGGTTCGGCTTTAGACGTGTTTTCGGCTGGCAATTCAACCCCAATCAAAGCTGATGAAAAACATAGTACATGCTAGAAAAACATATAAAAGGCAGAATGAAAAAGCTTGGTTCTGTTAGTGTTGAAGATGAACTTACTTTCCTGTGGAACAAACTGGATGAGGTTACTTCTGACTCTGACAGGAAGAGGTTCGTAGTGGCAACGTCTTGGTGGAGCACGTCTGAAAAGCAACAGAAACTAAATACGATATAACTATTAAAGATTCTGTCTTTTCCTTTGTCTCTTTTAGCCTCTTGTATCTGCTTACACACATGCTGCAGCTGTACATAGAACAGACATCAGGACGGCATGTCTTTAAGAGAAAGATGGATCAGAGATCATCTGTCCAAGCAGTCATTCAATGAAATTAGCATGGCAACAGTCCTAGCCAAAGCAAACGCACCCATAGGGTGGTTAAACCCTATAAAAGGTGAGAGCAACAGAGGAACCTTTGGTTGGATCCTCCAGGCAGCTTCTAGCCAAGACCAAGATGAACAAAAAACTCTGAAGCTGAGGAAGAGCCGGGGCCACAGAGCCGACCAATCAGTCAGCCCTGCAACATGTGGCTTCAAATCGCACTTCTCTCATCGGCTGGGTTCAGACCCCAAAGACTGAGGCAAAGACTGAGGCAAAGACTGAGGCAAAGAAGAACTGGTGCCTTTCTTCCATGAGGTCGGCTCGTCTACATCTCAACGTACCAGAAAGATCATGAGACAAGATGAAGGAGCTTCAGAGCTGAGAGCCAAGAAGCTGAGGAAAGCTACACACATGAAGAATTCACCCTAAGACCTGCCGCTCTAAGTCAGTATCCTTCCTGCCAGCACCCAAGTCCTGTGTGACCAACAGGTCAGACCATCAGACCAACAGAGATCCCTGCCTTCATCAATCAACCTCCTCCTCCTGCTCCAACACCTTCATCATCATGGATCCAGTTCTGGGGTTCAAAACACCAAACTCTGTCCGTCTCTCTCAAAGGTTCCCTTTTTAGTTCTTAGTATCAGCGTTAGGGAAAGATAGGCTATGTGATTGATTTGACTTATTGGATTATTTCTGCTACTTAATGAAGCTGTACTAACTCTTGAAAAAATGCCTTACTAATATAAAGCAAAAGCAACAACACTCAGGCATCCTTATGTAAGGAAACCAAGCTGATTTTCAGACGACTGCTTCATTTCACCTCAACCTGTTGACCAATGGAGAGCAACTCCAGGCCTGGAGGGTCGAAGGGCCAAAGACCTGCAACTTTTATATGCATCTCTAACCCTAACCCTGATTGGACCGAGGAGATTTAGCTGTTTGACTGAAGAATGTTGGACCAAGGAGACAGCTGACAGTCGCAGGATGCCAGAGGACGAGGAAGAACCTGGTGAGGACTGTAAGGACAAGGACGACACAGTTCTGGTTCAGCAGCCTCAGTGCTTCCTCTTCTCTAACGAGTCTCCTCCCTCTGTTCCCTGCTGAGATTTTTCCTTTATTTTATTTATATTTTGCTCACCACTGGTCTCCACTTTAACAAGGACAATATCACACATGATCCTTTTCAGGAAACTAAACGATTCCAGTCAGAGAAAGTGTTTAAAGAACCATCCCACTCTGGATGCAACACGAGTCACTGAACCAGGTTTTCATACAAAGACCAATGAAGAGCCTCTACATTTTTAAATGGAAAATTGACTTTGACAGAATTTGAAAATGTAATGATCATTTTATATCCATCCATCTATTTTCTGTTCTCTCTTGGGGTCGGGAGGTGCTGATGCTTCTCCAGCTAATGTTCTGGGCGAGAGGCGGGGTCACAGGTCGCCAGTCTGTTGCAGTGACCATTTTATAGTTGATCATATCCACTTTTTAATGATGTAACTGTGAAGCACGTTTCCACTATGTTGTTCTTGATCCACCTGTTTCTCCTCAGTAACGATTCAAACCTGAAGATCAACTTGGAGATTATGAACATACTTTAGATGCTAAGCTAAGGTGTAAAAGCTAACTTGCATAATTTTCTTGTATTCAATAGATATTAATAAGCTGAATGAAAGCAGAGAGGAGCCCATATTGATAACAGGGTTACTATGTCTGTTATTCTGCGGACGCTGCAGGAAGATTTTATTTTCCTAAAGATGAGAGAAAAACGTGACTCACCTTGACGGATCTACCACTTTATAAATGACTCCTGAAGGAGCCGTGGCGCTCGGTGTTCCTGTGGACATGAAGTACAGCTCGCCTGCAGGGCCCATAAAAAGCTGGTAAATCACTAAAAACTGTGAACAGCGTGTGGCTAAGGTTTTGTTCATGGGTTACCAGATTCATCTTCAGCGAAGGAGATGATATATGGATAGTAGTTGTTGATGAGTCCAGAAAAGGCACATGTCAGGCCCATTCCCATGCAGATTTCATGATACTTCCACTCTCCAGAGTTTGTCTCCTTTAGGCTCATCAGACGCCTAAAGCAAGCAAAAACTTCAGTGAATATTAGACTGGTTCTCTGCTCCATCTTAAACCTCTGCAGAAGATTTTAAATGATACAAAATGTTGGAATAAGCCCGGTCTACTTCCCTGATTCCTTTCTGATGTTAACTTATTTGGGTGAGATGAGCACAAAACAAACTCTTATGTCCATGTTTTCACAGCTTATTGTAACAATGTTTGCCTGATAAACTCACCCACTCATGAAGTCTCCAAATATGTACATGCCGTTGAGGTTGGGGTGTTCACAGCCACGGTACACGTATCCTCCTGTCACCGACTTGCCCTTCTTATGAGGGTAGGCGTAAATGGGCAGCACGTCATCTGTGAAGAAACCTCATCATGACCAGACTGAGCAGCAGTAGATTAAAAGACTCTGAGGTCCTCTGGCACTGGACTGTCAACAGTTTCCAGAGTCTGAACTCACACTGGCGGTGAGGCTTCTTGCCTGTATTATTTTCCCAGTTTGTGGAACGGTCTGCCAGAGAACCTGAGGGCCACAGAAAGTCTTTTCTTCGGCTCAAGACTCAACTTTCTAACTGCAGTTCCTGAATTGGATCTTTTCTGCGTAGGTTTTGTATTTTCCATGTGGGGTTGGTATTTTTTTTTTTTTTTATTGATCTGCACAACTTTTTCAGCTGCTTTTAGGACAATGGACACTTTATAATGAAAATTAATTGATTGGTTGATTGATTTGATCACAATTCTGATTTTCACACATTGCCATTTCACTAACATAAACACAGAGCAGAAGCTTTGTGGAACCTGAATTCTTCTACATAACCTCAGCATGGCATATTATGTCAAACTTTGTTTTATTTCAATCAATCAATCAATTTTAGCAATAAATCAGCCTTCATGTTGGCGGCAGCTCTCTGGAAACACATAAAGAGTATTTCTGATCTGGGTTTGAACCGTCCAGGTCACAGTCTGCAGGTCAAACGCCAGAGTTGTGAAGTAAAGGGAAACTGCTGGGATTCTCCCCTTTGCTCGCATCTCTGTAAGATATTAACAGCAACATAGTTTTACCTTTTCTTCACTTCCGTGGACTGGCCAGGACAGTCATTGCTTTTATTCTTTGCTTAATTTCTTTATAAAATAGTAATCAAGATAGATTTGGGTTTATTCTTGATTGACTGTATTTCACCTTATGTATTTCCTTAACACGCAAAAATGTCATGATTTGTTATGTGTAAGAAGAGAAGCATGATGAAAGTCCATGTGCTGCAGACACAACGGGTCGAAACAGGTGAATGATGCTACTCCCAAAACTGGCATTCAAATAATTCAAGGATCCGGTGAGAAACGGAACAACAGCTAAAGTTAAATACACATAGATGATGAGGAAACATCTGGATACAATCATTGGTAAGACACGACAACAGGGATGAAATCAAACAATTAAAGGGAAAACATGATACAGACTAACAACCCAATACACAAAACCATAATCCTTAAAGAAAGTTTGCTTAAAAATGCACAAACTTTGTACTTGCCATGGAAACGTGCAGCAGCTACAAAAACCTTTTTGTGGACAATAACAAAGTACAAATTGCCAAAACTCACCTAAATCCACTGAAACCTGATTTCATTCAGAAACATTGAACCTAATGTCTGTCATGATCTTAATCTTTAATTATTTAAAAATAAATGATGAAACTGAACTGCATTTATCCTCAGATAAGCTAACACAAAACAAAGGCAATAAAAATAAAAGATGTGAAAACCTCACTCCAATATAAATAATAATTTTGCTCAGTTTGTCTCATAAAGACGAAACGCATCGTCTGAGTGCATCTATGGGTCAATTATTCTCACTAAAGAGAAAACGGGGCTGATCAATAGGTTTGATTATTGCAGGTGATCAGGTGTGGAGACAGTAGCTGCTACCAGAGGAGCTTTGGCTCTGATGGAGAACTTGGAGCCGATAGGATTCAGAGGAAGCTTCAGGTGATTTTACTCTAACTAAATTAGTCATTTGCTTTGTGATAATTAAATTAAACTGATTATTAATATGCAACATAGTAAACATGGCAAATGATCAACAATCCACTTTTATCACTTTTAACCTATTTATAAAAATATTTTCAATCAATAACGCTCTGTTATTCATGTAGGTCTTAATATCAATGGACAGAAAGTCCTACAAATAAAAGTCAACTTTTCATTGTGCTTTCATACATCTCTAATATTTTCTTACTAAACTCATCTGTGGACAAGTTCCAGAAACACGACTAATTTAAATCTGTTCCTCAGTTTTAACTGTTCATCCAGTTATCAACTGAAAATATCATTTTAATAACGACCGTTGATCTGAGTCCAGACCAAACGAGCAGCGAAGAACCGTCAACCGGTTCCGACTGAACATGTGATCATCATCATCATCATCATCATCATCATCATCATCATCATGTCAGTCATCCTCAGATTGTTGCCACAATAAATATCATCAAAGTTTGAAGGAAGCTTTTAATGTGAGAAGCGCTGCTGCCTGCTCCTACTGTTCAGTGAATTAAAAAGACATTAATACTGTCTTCAGAATAACATTCACAGTTTATGACAGAAACTGGGCTCTGGGTCTGAATCAGCTTCTACATCCTAACAGTTATGATGTTTAAGATCCAAACTTCACTTGCATCCTCTGACTCATGACTCAATGACACGTTCACGTCCGTCAGGACGTTCACAAACACTAACAACCCTGTGATGTTGGTTCCAGTTGCTGTTCTGTTCATTATGTTTCTCCATGTCAGCAAGATTTTTAATGGCTGGAGCCTCAGAGAAGCATCAAGTTTCATCAGAGCTCCTGGTTCATGATGCCTGTGTCTGGAAAGCAATCTCTGCATTATCCTTTGTGAGGTTTTCATTTACTAACACATGATTTAGTGTTTTTAACAACATTTAACAGTTCAGTTTTGTGCTATTTGCTGTTTTCTTCCTTTTATCTGGATTTGTATTTAGCTTTTCTGGCCTTGTGTAACAAGCAGCAACAGTTTTACTGAGCAGCCAAATCGCTGAGCTGCTGGAGAACCTGACGCCTTTTTGCTCAGGAGAAAATAGTTCCTCTGGTTTTTCATCTTCATGTTTCCTGCGTATGAGCGTCGGCGTCCTCTTGAGTCCAGAAACGGGTTCCGTTCTTGCAGACCGTTCCACTCTTTTTTCCAATTCTTCCATCATCTTTTCTTTGATAGTCTCTCTCTTGATTATTGAAACTTGATTCAATGATTTCTACTAGTTTTCCAGTTAAAATCAGGTCCGTCCATCATGCGCCAACGTCTCCACTCTGGTCTTTTTTGTCCTGAAATTTTTTCTTTGCTAACCTCAGTTTGGCAGCCATCTTGTTTCTAAGAAGAGGTTTCTTTCCTTCAGCCCTTCAATGCAGTCATCCTGGTTCAGTGTTCTGACCTTTAACCTTTACCCTGCTAAATGAGTCCTATTGAGTCTGAGGTGGCTCTCTGGATCTTCTGGTCATTTCGCTGAGCATCACGCTCTGATGTTGGGCTGAACCTGCTGGGATGTTTTCCTCTGTGGAGATGGTCTGGAGACTGTTTTTGTTGTGGCTAATCTTATTTCTAGTCTCATGACTGTCAGTTCAATCAAGTTGATTGCTGTTGCACATTTAAAAACATGTACTGTAGCATAATGTTTTGATCTTTGGAGATCAAAATGCTGCACAGCTAAAGTATTAAAAGAACATGAAACAAAGATTGTTGTGTTGGACTTTGGTTTCTAAAGCCTCATGACTGAATTGATGGTTTATATTGCTTCTTTATTTCAACTACGCTTGTGCTTTGCCAGCTGGAGCATATGTCCAGAGTTGCAGCTTTTAAAGAAACAGAATCTCAGTTTCTCTTGTACATATTGCCTCACCTGTTCTGTCTTTTCAGTATAGAACATGTGAAGTGTGAAAGTCAAAGCTTAAACTCTGTCTGAACAAACCGCTCAGAGTTTTTCACACCAACATTGTACATTAATTTTTTCTTATCAGCATCCAGTGATGCATGAACTGATCAGAATATTCTGTCTCATTTCTGATTTCAATCTGATCTTTGACCAGCTGATGGAGATTTCTCCAAGAACTAGAAGACCAGCAAACCGTTCCAATAATTATTTACATTAGGAGAGAACATGACATGTTGTGTGTGACAGAAGCAAGATTTTGTTATGAAGACCAACCATGATTTAACTTTTCAAATCATTAGCATGACTAGCACAATTAATACAGAACTATGTTTATTAACCTGGAGTTCTTTGTGCTTATTCGACAAAAGGAGAGTTTTAGATAATGAGTTATTGCTTTTTGAGATTTTATAGATATGTTGAAGTCTATTTTCAACATTGACTTCACACTGAGCTAGTTGAAGAGCACATCAATGCCTGCAAATGTTTTTGTTTCTGTTGTTGAATGAAGAGTCAGTTTGACTCATTCTGCAGCTCCATTAGAGAATTAAACATTTTTATGGCTTATCTAATCCATCCTACCAATAGTGCAGATATATCTGAAAGCAGGGTAGTGTAGCATTCTTACTTAGTGAGCTGTTGGTGCACAGCTTCTTATCATAGCAGGAGAATCCCTCTTTTGCTCTCCAGCCATAGTTACAACCTTTCTCGATGATGTCAACTTCTTCATACTTGTTCTGGCCGACATCCCCGCAGAAGATCCGACCCTTCCCCTCTTTGGTTTGTGGATCTCCCCGGTCCACCGAGCACCTCCACATGTTACGGACCCCGTAAGCGTATACCTCTGGGCGTGCGCCAGGCTCATGGATGAATGGGTTGTCTGAGGGAATTCTGTACAGCGGACCTTTCTCGTTGTTATCCACATCAATTCGAAGAACTTTACCCAACAGGACAGACCTGGAACATCCCCAGAGTTACACTTTAAGAACTTTAGCTTTATGGCCTCATTGCACCATTGTATACTTACTTGTTCTGGGAATTCCCATACTTTCCAAATGGATCTCCTGCCATTCCACCATCTCCTGTGAAAATGTACAGGTAGCCATCATCTCCAAAGAGCAGCATCCCTCCATTATGATTGGACGCTGGTTCATCGATCTCCAGAATTACTCTTTAGACAAACAGTTTTATAAAAAAATTGTTTTATTCTGTAAACATGAAAATTCTGATGTTTTCCACTCTGGAGTGATGGCCAGTCTATACCTACCGCTCTGACGTGTGGTCCACCAGATTCATGTCATTGGTCGACACCTTGAACTCACTTATCCTTATTCTCTCATCAAAGCCAACCTCCACTGAGTAGTACACATACACTTTGCCATTGTATTTGTATTTGGGATGAAACGTGATTCCAAGGAAGCCTCTCTCATCTCCCTCCCACGATGATGTCAGCACAGCCTTGGTGATGTTCAGAAATGGCTTCTCCAGCTTGGATCGGTCAGGGAGGTAAGTCCATACCAGCCCCACCTGCTCTGCAACAAAGAACCGATGTGTACCATCATTGGCGTGAACCATAGCCAGAGGGTTCCTCAAACCATTTGCCACCTCTTCCAGACATAGTTGCAGACAACCATCAGAATCTTTCTGAACCCGGCCCAGGTTCTGGTTCAGCTTATGATTGCTGAGTAAGTTAGGATAACAGTAATCAGCATCATCCAGCTGTAGAAGTTTGCAGAAACGATTCTGATCGTCTTTGGCCTGATTTAAAGGTGGGTGATCGGACAGGAACGGTATGATTGGGTGGCACTGGTTCCAGAACTGGGAGCAGTAGTCGGGGCAGAGGCCTGGGATGGTCCGGAGTGGGGTGGTGGGATCCTCAGCATCAAACAGGTGAGCTGCAAACGGTGAACACTCCTGATCGAAAGATGGAGAAAACTGATTAAATGAGGGATGATTAAACCCTGACCCCCTAAATCACCAAAAATGGCTGAAAAGGTATTCAAATTAAATCAGCTGCTATTCTTGAACAATTTGGAGTACATGCAAATGCTCTTTATGATGACAAGCATTATAATGACAAGTGTGCCATATGGAGGCTCCAAATATTAAGTTTTTTATCCAAGCAAACCCAGCAGAGCATCAAGTAGTTGATTTATACCATTTACTCCTACTGACCAGCAGGTGGTGACAGTGGACAGAAAACTTTTGCAGGAAGAAACCTCCAGCAGAACCAGAACCTTCCCGAGTACAAATGACCATCTGGCACTGACTGACAATTTGAGAAGACAGAACAGGAAGCACCAAAAAAGACAGAACTGGTCCAGGTTTTGATAAGCAGTTAAAATCATCTGATTATTAAAGGTTTTACATCCAAGAAGAGGAATCTCAAATAATCTGGATTTAACCTGCTGATTTAACAGAGAAGCTAAAATAGGAGAAATATTGTCTTGTTTTTAACTTCTTGTCAGAACTCCTGCTGCACCATTTTGGATCAGCTGAAAGCTTTTTAATGCAGCTTGTAAATAATTACAGCAGTCCAGGCTTAAAGGAACAAATGCATGGATAAGTTCTCCAGCATGACACCTGTACAGGGTGTTTCTAATTTTGGCAATATTCTGTAGTTGGAACTTGTTTAATATTGAACTTAAATGACATATTCTGGTTAGAAATAACTGAAGTTCTTTACTTTCTTATTGGAGGCAAATTTAAGGCCACACAGATTATGTCATTGACTTTTTCATAATTTCTGGTCCAAAACAAAACATAATTCTATCTTGTCAAACTGTAAATCCAGAAATCCTAATTATTCACGTTTCTAGTTTAGATAATTTTATTTTCTCTTTTGAACACAGTTCTTAAAAAAAGTTTTAGTGACATTCTAATGTATTAAGGCCCATGTATGCAGCGAGATTCTGCAGACACGCCAGAGCTGTGCTTTATGTTACGTAAGAATCTGGATGTTTTGATCAGATGAAAGCCTGCATGCTGCACCAGTTGACCTTTGTCCTGGACGCTTACCTGGCAGAGCAGCTCCAACACGAAGCCTGCACAGTTCTTATGGCCCCTCTCAGTCAAGTTTTCCATGATCCGGTAATATCTAGCCATGAGTTCCTGGTCCTTCTGGCCATCGCAACAACCAAACTCTCGGTACATGATGCAGAACTCCAGATCTGTGTCTGGACGGAAAGGCGGCTTAAAATCCAAACACTGGGGGTGAAGAGCTCCAGGTGTCACACAAAACAACAGGATACACACAATGACCTGCAGCCAGAAGCCTGGTCGGCCCAGAGTTCCAGCAGAACTCTGCAGCATGATGGTGAGCGGAGGAAAGACTGACGAGGGGAGAGCAGCTCTGGCTTCCTGTCAGGTTGAACTTTGCTCTGAACTCGGCGACCTGGTGACACGCAAAGCTGCACACTGCAGGGATCCCTCTACGGCTCAAGATGTAGGAGTTGTGGGTTTTTGTCAGGCTTGCACAAAGTGTTCAGCTTTGAAACAACACAGGCTCCAATTTTCCAGCAGGAAACGACAAGAACAAGGAAACCTGCTGCTTGAAAACTCAGCAAGGAGTTTTTCAATTCTTCCTGCATAACAATAAAGAAATTCATTAAAAAGTAACAACACAGTGTATATCCAATATGGAAAATTTGATATTCTAGTTTCTTTTCTGGAACTTTTGGAAGAGCAGTTACTAAGTGACATAGATGACGAGGTGCTTTCTCTCCACCATTGCTACTTGCATGCTGGATATGAGATTGCTGTGAAATCAATAACACAACACAAGCGATGGTCACCCCCTGCTGGTCCAGGAGAAATAAATGCTCCAAGTCAATTACTTGATACAATCTGCTGGATTTGCTTAGCAAGTTTTTAAATAACTTTGAAAAAATATTGACCATACTTTACTGTTTCATAACCAGGATAAAAAGAATGTATGTATAAATGAAGTAAAAAAAAAAAGGGTTTCATTTATGTAAGGGAACTCAACAAATCTCTAACTGGAGACTGGAAATGAAGTCAACATCATCACTTTAGCCACATGATAACTTACATATGAATATTTTCATGTTATCCAACTGCTGCTTATGCAAAGCTTCATTAAAATACAAAACTGTGAGATGAACTAATAAATCAACAAAATACACTCATGACTTAACATAAACAGAATTGTGTGAATGACATTAAACTCATGATTTTATGAACGCACACGGTCAGTCATTCATCTGCTTTCTTTGGCTGTTTATTCCTCTCTGTGGAGGCAAGTCCTCCTCTGAATACTAACCCTATATATACTATATATACTATATATATGCTATATATATGCTATATATACTACACTGCTCCAAAAAATAAAGGCAACACTCAAATAATACATCATAGATCTGAATGAATGAAATAAATATGAAAATAATTTCCACCTGTTGTCTATTCCATTTGCACAACAGCAGGTGATATTGATTATCAATCAGTTTGATTTCTAAGTGGACAGTTTGATTTCACAGAAGTCCGCAGGTTCGGATGGAGGGCCTGGTTGTAAGAGAGGCTGGATTGGTGGTTCTGTGTTACCCGGGGGTGTGGATGCCCGGCTGGGGTAAGTGGTTGTGATGGAGAGCCTGGTTGTATGAGAGGCTGTATTGGTGGTTTCTCTGTTACCCGGGGATGTGGAGCCACGGCTGGGGTGAGTAGCTCCGCAGCAGGCCCTGGTTGTATGAGAGGCTGCGGTCCTGGTTCTCTGTTACCCGGGGCTCCGGTCCCCTTTCCCGGGTAGAATTAAAAACACTTTACCGATTCCTGGTTCTCACTCGGTGAGCTCCAGGCCTGGTTCTCAGAGAGGCTGCTGTCCTGGTTCTCTGTTACCCGGGGCTCTGGTCCCCTGTCCCGGGTAGAATTAAAAACACTTTACCGATTCCTGGTTCTCAGAGAGGCTGCTGTCCCGGTTCAGTTACCCGGGGCTCTGGTCCCCTGTCCCGGGTAGAATTAAAAACACTTTACCGATTCCTGGTTCTCACTCGGTGAGCTCCAGGCCTGGTTCTCAGAGAGGCTGCCGTCCCAGTTCTGTTTACCCGGCTCTGGTCCCCTTTCCCGGGTAGAATTAAAAACACTTTAACGATTCCTGGTTCTCAGAGAGGCTGCAGTCCCGGTCTCTGTTACCCGGGGATGTGGAGCCACGGCTGGGGTGAGTAGCTCCGCAGCAGGCCCTGGTTCTCAGAGAGGCTGCTGTCCCGGTTCTCTGTTACCCGGGATTGTGGAGCCTCTGCCGGGTTGAGTGGCTCCGGAGCGTGGCCCCCGGTTCTCATAGAGGCTGCAGTCTCGCTTCTCTCCCCCGTGCTTGAGCGATGGACTCCGCCTGTGAGTTTTGGCTCCGGTCGGTCAACTTCAACTTGCAAAAAAGCGTGTAAAAATGAATGCCACCCCGGGCAAGCCATACATGCTTTTAAAGGTCTCGCTAAGGAGAACAATTCGGCGCGGGTCTCTGATTTTTATACCGTTTCCCCGATTTTTAAGCCGCGAAAGAGTGCCGTTTTTCCGCCCGGTCAACTTCAACTTCCGGTAGAGCGGGTGAAAACGCGTTCTGCCCGGGGAAGCCATATATCCCCGTGAATGCCTAAGCCAGGAGAACAATTCGGCGTGGGTCTCCGATTTTTAAACGGTTTCCCCGGAGCGGGGAAGCGGCGGAAGTCGCGCCGGGAAAAGGCCGGAAAAACGGTCAAAAACCAATAAATGCGGGAAAAACGCACCGCTGGCCGACAGCCCGTGTTCCGGAGCACAGCCCTGTGCGGTCGAATGATTTTTAGCACGCTCACAGGAGCCGGGATAAATGAAAAATGGGTTTCCGGGCATACAAAGCATTGCCCTCCCT